GGATTCACCGCCGTCGGCCTGCGCGCGGATAGCGCGTCCGCAATGCCGGTGAACGGCATCATCTTCCGCGTGGGCAGTGACGCCCTCAGCCGCTTTGACGCTCGAGAAGTGGGCTACGAGCGAGTGGAGGTCAGTGCTGCCGCGCTTCGAGTACTTATCGACCCCGACGGCGTTGCCACCGACGCGCTGCAGGACACCGGCAACTGCTTCTGGACGTACGTGCCGCGCGAGTGCCACTCCGCCACCGAGGAGTGCCCGATCTGTCAAACTTACTTGGACGTCTGCTTGGCTGGCTGCCTCGAGCGCGGAGGGCGCGAACTCGCCTCCGAGTGGGTGCGCACGACGAGCGAGTGGTCGCACTTCTGGCTTAACGACGCACCGATGAGTCGGCGGCCGTGGCTCCACCGGCCGCGTTACGCCGAGGTCGATAGCGTCCTTCGCGAAGCCTCGGCGCACACGCTTTTTCACGAGCGGCGCCACCCTGAGGAGTTTAGCGGTCGCTGGACGGGCGACCTGCGCGGGCTGTGGGGCGTGCCGCCGAGAAACCCCTGCTTTGTGGGCCGCGACGCCGCGCTCAGCCGACTGGCGTCGGCCATGCACGGTGGCGAGAGCATACGGTCGGTCCGCGGCGACGCAGCCAGCGGCGACGCGGGTGGCAGGGAAGCCAGCGGCGAGACGGGTAGCCAACAGGGCGTGCTGACGACAGTGGAGCTCGTGGGGATGGGCGGTGTGGGCAAGACGCAGCTGGCGACGGAGTACGCGTACCGCCATTTCGCCGCGGCCTCCAAATTAGACGCCAAAGGCTCACGGCGGGCTGGCTACGGTCTCGTCGTCTGGCTACGTGCTGAGTCGGCCGAGGCCCTCGCCGCAGACTTGCGCAGCGTGGCCAACGACTGCGGCATCGGCGTGCAGGGCTTGCGCTCGGACCAGGTGATTGCCGTAGCGAGCGGGCCGTAAGAGTGGAAGTCCGCGAGGTACCAGGTGATTGCCGTAGGTGATTGCCGAGATGCGCGCGCGACTGTATCGAACGCGCAGCCCGTGGCTGCTCGTGCTCGACAACATGTCCAGCTCCGCCCTCATGTCCAGCTCCGAGAAGGGCGTGCTGCCTCGAGGCTGCGTGAGCGTTGGCCACGTCCTGGTCACTTCGCGCGTGGCGACGCTCTCGCCCGAGGCGCAGCGCGCGGACGCGCACGCAAACGCGCTCCTGCTCGGCTGCCTCTCGATCCCAGAGTCGCTCGAGCTGCTGCGCCAGGCGGGCGGCGAACATTTGGGAGTCGACGAGCTCTGCCCCAGAAGCACGAGCTCCGCCCACGCCCGCACGGACGCCGGCTCGCCGCTCGTGCGACGCCGGGGCGGCTCGCATTCAGGCCCGGTGCACCCGGGTGAGGAAATGCCGACGGCGGGGGTGGTCGTCGCGGCGAAGCTCGGCTATTTGCCGCTTGCTCTAGCGCTCGCGGCCGCGTACATGCGCGCGTGCGATGTCTCATGCGCAAGCTACCTCCAACGGCTCGCCGAAGCGAGCGACGGCGCCGGCGCCGCCGCGGGCGCCGAGCTGCTTCAAGGGTACCCTTTGGGCGTCGCCGAGTCGTTTGAGCTCTCGCTGCAGCAGCTGGACGTGCCCGCCGTCGACGCGGTGTACAAGGGCGGCGGTGGCGCGGAGCGGCCGTCGGCGGCTTCAGTGGGCGCGCGCGACGTGCTTGACGTGCTCGCGTTCTGCGCGAGCGAGAATATCCCAAAGGGCTTGGTGAGCGCCGCGATCCGCGGGATGGTTGCGTGCGGCGCCGAGCGCGCGCGGGGGCACGAGGCGGCTCAGGCCACGGCGGGTGACCCTGCGCCGGAGTCGCGTGCGCCGCTCTCCTCATTTTGGCGGTGGATGGATCCATCAGACGCGAGTGGTGCGCTAACCATCGCTTGCGGTGGCGTGGCGGCGGGCACGGCGGTAGCAGCCTGCTTGGCACCTCGCCGCCACCGCCGCCGGTGGCTTCTGACCTCCGCAGTGGCCGCGGGTGCCGCGGCGGCAGCTGCTGCGGCGCTGGCCTTCCGGCGTGCGGACGCCGGCCTACCGCCGACGGCAGCGGGGTCCCCACCAACGGTTCGCTCGGAGGAGCCCGGGGCGTGCGCGCGCACGCATCCGCAGCCGGTGGCGGCGGCGCATCCGCTGCTGCTGGCGCAGGGCACGGCGCTCTGCGGCGGCGGCGGCGGCGGCGTGCTGCAAGCGGAGGCAGTGGCGGTCGCCGATCGGACGTGGCTCAAGCTCAAGCAGTTCTCGCTCCTCTCGGTGCGTGAGAACGCACACGGCGAGCGCACTGGCTGCTTGCACCGGCTGCTCGGCCAGAGCTTGCGCGCGCACATGGACAGCCACGCGGCGGCGCACACACTGGGCGTTTGCGTGTGGGCGCTCGAGCAGCATTGGGCGTTTGACCCTGCGGACACGACCACATGGACGGCCGCGACGGCGGTTCTCGGCCATGTCCAGGCTGTCGGCCGGCACACGCACGCGCTGCTCCGGGGTGCGGCCGAGGCAGACGAGTGCGAGGGTGCGGGCGCGGGGCCGGAGCACGAGCTCGTTGCCGCACTCCAGCTCCGAGTCTCGGCGTTGCTCACGCAGGGGGCGCTGTGCATGTGCTTCGCCCTCTCTCGTTTCGACCAGGCGCAGCAAGCGCTCGAGGCGGCGCGCGCAATCCAGCAGAGCTTGCTCCCGCCCGGCGGCGTGGCGTGCGGCGGCGGCGCGTGCAGCCTGCAGCGAGGGCGGGCGCTTACCCTCGACACAGCGGGCAAGGTCGCGCGCTACTCAGGCAAACTGACTGAGGCCGAGGCGCTGCTCCGAGAGGCGTTGCAGCTCTGGCGCGACAGTGGCGACGAGGGCGGCGCCGCGGCGACGCTGCACGAGCTCGGCGTGGTGCATTTGCGCCGCGCGGAGTGGGAATCGGCGACGGCGCTACTGAAGCAGTCTCTGGCGATGAAACGCGAGAGGCGCCCGTGTGGGACGACCAACCGCATCGGCAACTGCATCGGCAAGGCGGCCGCGAGCAGCGGCGGCGGCGGCGTCGGCACGGCACGCCACCACTCGCGATTTCCAACGGAGGCGGCGACGCTTCACCAACTCGCGGTCGCCGCGATGTCGAGCAAGCCGCCACGGTTGGCAGAGGCGGACGCGCTTCTGCGGGAGGCGCTCGCGCTCGAGGACCAGGGACCTTTTGCACTCGGCGCGCGTGCGGCGACGCTGCAGCAGCTCGCACGCGTCGCTGAGCGCTGCGGCGACGCGCACGCGGCACGCGCGCACCTCGAGGAGGCGCTGGCGATGCAGACCCGCGCGTATGGCGAAGGCGTGGCGCACGTGAACAAGGCGGCGACTCTCTCGCAGCTGGCAAGCCTCGCTCTGCAGTCGGGCGACACTGAGCACGCGTCGCAGGTGCTCGGCGAGGCCCTCGAGATGCGCCGGCAAATCTACGGCCACGGCGGCGGCCACGTCGAGGTCGCGCTCAATTTGGCCAAGCTCGGTGAGTGCGAGCGCGCGCGTGGCGGGCTTGCGCTGGCGGCGCACCGCTTCAGCGAGGCTCGAGTGATGCTCGAGGGCCTTGCGCTGCGCGAGGCGCGCGAGGCGCGCGAGGCGGGCGAGGCGGGCGAGTTGGGCGAGGCGCGCGAGGCGTGTGCCGCGCGGGTGGCGCGTGAGGCCAGCTCCGGCGGAGGCGAGGGGGTCTTGCAGCGGCTGCTGCGCGTCGTCTCTGTCACGTCGGGCGTGGACAGCGCGCTGCCAGCGAGGCTGCTTTCGCAGCTTCTCCAGGCGATCCGGTGGCAGCGTACCGTCGCCCGCGAGGCTGGCGAGGGCTTGCGCGCAGCTGAGCTCGCTGCAGAGGCGCAGCAGCTCCAGCACGCTTTGGAGGAGCAAAAGCAGGCCGCAGCTCAGCCGGAGGCCACGGAGGACGGCCTGGCCGGCTTTGACCTCAACGGGGCGCTCGTCGCTTCGCTGGTCGCCTGCCGCGATCGCGTGCGCGAGACGCTGCTCGAGATGCGCGCGGCCGTGAGCCCAGCAGAGGTGCGGCCGTTGCACGGCGCGGCGCCCATCCAGAGTATCCTCGGCGCGGCGGAGGAGCTGGTACAAGTAATTCACGGAGCGAAGGCAAGGGAGGCGACTGCGGCGACAGGAGGTGCAGCCGAGCCGGAGGGCATGCGCGAGGAGGCCAAGGCAGAGGGGCTGAATGCGGCGCTCCGGTCCTCGGGGCTCGCGTTTGTGCTGGAGCTGCGAGCCAGTGTGGCGGAGGAGCGTGAGTCGCGCCGCTTCCTGGCGCGAGCATTCGCGGCGTGTGATGGGCTGCGCAAGAGCCTGCGCGAGGCTGGCGTCTTGCTGACGGATCTGCAGTCTGAGAGCGCCTACCGCTCACGCGTCATCTCGCACGTGAAGCGGCTGGCCTCGACCGGCGACTACGCTTTGAGCGAGAAGGCGCTGCTCCGGCTGCAAGCCACCTTCGGCTCGCTGACCGTCGACGCTTTCGCCTCGGCGGCGACGGCGCAGCTGCCTCGCTTCTGGAGTCGCGACGCCGTCCGCGGCGCAGAGGGTATCGACGCCTTCGCTCAGCGGTGGGAAGACGAGCGTCTGCTCGTGCACGCCCCCGTGAGCTTGCTCAACCAAGTCGTCGAGAAGCTCGAGGCTTCGCCGACGGCATCGGCTGTGGTCGTCTGCCCCTACTGGACGGGCGCCCCCTGGTTTGCGAGCTTCCAGCGGCTCGCGAGCGACTCGCTCGTGCTGCCACCCGGCTCTCTCCGAGCGATTGCCACCAGGACTAGCCACGTTAAGTGCTGGCGGGCGATCGCCTTTTATGTGCCGCCAAGAGAGTAAAGGCGCGACGGTGTTAAAGTCTCACCTCACGGAACTCGTGTGTCGGACCCTCGCGCGCCCTGCGCGCCCGGGCGCCCAGGAGTCCCCCCGAGAGACCGAGAGTTTCCCGCGTGCTCCCCCCACACCACCCCGAGGCCCGAGGGTGCCGAGAGTCCCGTAATTTCGCCTCTACGGTCTACGCCTTTACTGGTTCATACTTGCAGATGTGCAGATACGCCCACCGCCACGGCGTACGGCTCTACCGAGAGATAAAAATACGGCCACCTGTCAATTGGACATCGATCATCGTGTACGTGCACGCTCTCTACTTCAAGGATCAGCATTCAGGGCATCCGAATGGTCAGAGTCCGCGGCCGCTCACTCCAAGCAGCGGCCCCCAGGAGATGCCTGCCGAGCAGGTCGAGCTGCGCGACCGCATCGGCGGCGTGCTCGCGCAGCAGCGGGTCCGCGGCGCCGTCGCGCGTCAGCCGCAACTGCGCGTAGATCTGCCGCAGCTGCGAGGGCGGGAGGACTGCCGCCCCGTCGGTGCCGAGCTGCTGCAGCGTCAAGCCCACGAGGTAGGCGGCGGCGCGCGCCTCGTCGACGCACGCACGCTCCTCCGCGCTGCCGCCGTCCCCGGGCTCCTCCGTCTCGCGCGCAGGCGCGGCTGCTGGCGCGGCCGATGAGGTGGAAGCGGCCGAATCCAGCCTGCGCCGATCGGCCTCTGCGGCGGCGGCCTGGAACAGCGCGTTGTTCCGGTGCGGCTGCAGCGCCGACGTGGCGAGCGTGAGCAGCTCGACTGCGTACGGATGCAGCGCCTGGTGCATGAATGCGGGGGACCGGGGTTGAGAGTGCGTTATCATGCCGTGTATTCAGAACGGCGCGCGAGGAGGAGAGAGCTTCGCATACAGTTACAGCGACTACGACGCGGAGCGCGGAGTACAGCCGAATTCCGCGGGCCGCGTGTCGCCTCAAGTCCTGCTCGTTGAAGTCCAGGGACCTGTTTTCCGCATCTAGGGGTGCAGCGCTAGCCGCAGCGTGGAGGCCGCCGTCGCCAGCGCGGCGAGGCACGAAGCGCGGATAGCGGCGCAATCGTCGCGGGCACCGGCGAGGAGCGCCGCCATGGCGGCGTCGGCGTGGGGGGGGAGGGTCGCCCCCAAACGGAGCACGGCCTGGCACAGCGCCTGGGCGCCCTTGAGCCGCCGCTCGGTCGCGGCAGCTGCCCTCGCCTCGCAAGCGGCGGAGGGCCGGCGGCCAAGCTGCGGCTTGCCCTGTGGCAGGAGAAGCTCGGCGAGGCGCGGCATCACCGTGCGCGGCGAAACCTCGGCCGCCGCGGCGAGCGCGTTGAGGGCCGCCTGGTAGACGAAGGAGTCGTCGTGGGCCAACCGCAGCTTCGCGAGCTCGAGCAGCTGGCGGCGAGGGGCGGCGGCGGTGAGGGGGAGACCCACGGCAGGGGCGGCGAGCAAGGCGGAGAGGGGTGGATGCGACGGCGGGCGAGAAGCCCACCTGGGCCGCGGCGCGCGAGCTCAGAGGAAGGTGTCTGGGAAATGTCGAGGAGACAGGAACGCTCCGCGTCTAGCCGGTCAGTGTCTACGAGGAAGTGTCTGGAAGCGTCACCTCCTCCAACCGGCCAAGCGCCGCCTCCGAACGGCGAAGCAGCGCGTGCCGCACCTAGTGTGAATACTGGGACTTGAGTACGGTCTCGTGCCATGTGTTCGGCGCATCGCGTGAAGACTACAGCGGCAATACAGCTCGAAGGCAGTCGAATGCCTTCTCGAGCGCCGGCTGGAGACTAGGGCCCGTCTTCCGCATCTGGGGCCTCGAGATAGGGGGAGATGTTCCGCATCTAGGGCACCGCCACCGCCGCCAGCCCGGCGGCGACGCGGTACGGCTCCGCACGGCCGACGTCTCGCACCGCCTCTCTTAGCTCCGCCAGCTGCGCGGGCGAGTCCACCTGTGCCCCGGCGGGGATCGGTGGGCCAGGAGCGGTGTGCAAGCCTTGCGGTGTGCAAGCCTTGCGGTGTGCAAGCCTTGCGGTGTGCAAGCCTTGCGGTGTGCAAGCCTCGCGGGGCGAAGGGCCTGCTGCGGCCAAGGGTCTCGGAAGTGTCTCGGAAGGGGCTGCTCGGGAGGTGCGAGGTCGTAGTGTGCTGTCAATCTCGGGTGATCTCGGTGTCTTAGGCGACCTGGGGAAGTCTCGGAAGTGTCTCGGAAGTGTCTCTGAGGGCCTCCACGAGCCCAAGCGGCGGCGGGGTGCGCCCCCGCGGCTCCTCCTCGGCGAGGGACGTGGCGACCAGCAGCGACGCGGCGAGGGCGGCGGCGCGAGGCGCCAGCGCTGCAGGCCCCGTGGCGGCGCACTGCTGCAGCGGCCCGAGCAGCCGCTCCCGAAGCCTCCGCTTGAGGGAGGGATGCTGCTGCGCCGCTTGCAGCAAGCACCCCCCAATCTGGAGGCAGAGGCTCAGGGTGCCACCCCCCTCCTCCTCCGCCTCCGCCTCCTCCTCCTCGTCGTCGTGATCGTCGCCACCGCCGCCGCCCCTCCCGCTCCCCCTCCTGCCCCCGCTCCCCGCAGCCCCCGCCGAGAGCAGCGACGCAAGCAGCGCCTACGGGGCGGCGGGCGGCGGCATGGGACGGTCGCCGACTTGGTGCCCCGCCCCCCGCCCCCCCGCCCCCCGCCCCCCCCCTCCCCCCTCCCCGGCGCGCGCGCCAGCAGCGACGCGTTCGCGCCCTCCGCCCCGCCGTCCGCCCCGCCGTCCACAGCGCCTGGCTTGGCGACCTTTGAACCGGCCGCCGCCGCCGCCTCGGCCGCCGCGGCCGCCTCGGCCGCCGCGGCCGCCTCCGCCTCGGCCTCCGCAATCTGCGCGGCCAGCGCCGCGGAGTCTACGTCCTCGAGCAGCGGCGCGAGCAGCCCCTGAAGCCGGAGCAGCTGCAGCCCCGCCGCGGGCGCCGCGTCGCCGCCGCCCACCACTGCCGCCGCCGCGAGCAGCGCGCGCCGCAGCAGCAGCGCGACGAGGCTGCAGCCCACGCCTTGCAGCTCCGTCGAGCGGAGCGCACCCCGCGCCGCGCGCCGGAGTGAAGGGGAGGCCAACTCCGGCCCGCCGCCCGCCGCCGCCTCGCCGCCCGCCTCGCCGCCCGCCTCCTCCGCGAGAAGCGCCGAAGCGAGAGCCGCGGCGGGGGCGCTCGCGCCTCGGAGGAGCGCAGTCAGTGCCTCGCCCGCCGCCAGCTCCGCCGCCGTCGCGCCAGAGGCGCGCCGCGCCGCGAGCAGCCCGAGGAGCGCCTGCAGCGCGCCTGCTCACGGCCAGACGCGTGTCCGTCTTGCGCAAGACAGCGGTACTCCGTCTTTGGGCAGCGGTACTTTGGGCAGCGGTACTCCGCGCGCGCCCGGAGGAACACGGGGCATGTGCATGTGCATGTGCTGTGCTCGGCTGCCTCTCAGCTGCATCTCGGCTGCCTCTCGGCTATCTCTTGGCTGCATCTCGGCTGGCCTCGGCTAGTTCTTGGCCAAGTCTCGGCTGGATCTCGCCCTCGCGCACGAGGCAGTCGCACAAACGGGTCGGCGCCGGCGCGGCGCAGAGCAGCGAATGCAGCCGCCGGCCTGCAACGCGGCGGGACTCCTCGCACGTGGGCAGAAGCGGCGTGGACGACAGAGGCGGCGGCGGCGGCGGCAGGGGCGGCAGCAAGGGCGCAAGCAAGGGCGCGAGGAGGTTGGCTCTGGCGAGCTCCGCCTCCCTCGCCACGAGAGCCGCCGCGAGCTGCGCCGCCGCACTGCGCAGATACTGCGCCGTCTCGGCCGCCTCGCCGCCGCCGCCGCCCTCGCCGCCAACACCATCGCCGCCAACGCAGCCGCTGCGGTTGCTGTCATCGCCGCCGCCGCCGCCGTCCGCCGCCGCTGCGTCGAGGAGGGCGAGGACCTGTGAACGAGAGAATCGGCTGAGGCGTCTGCGAGGCGCATCCGAGAGATGGCCTCCCGAGGGTCGGAGTGGGAAGGGGCACCTGGCAGCACATGCCGCGGTAGTAGTCGGCCAGCGGCGTGCTCCGCGGCGGCGTCGAGAGCAGCCGGCTCGCGATGGCCGCCGGCGGCGGCGCGCCGCACTCCCCCCCCTCCCGCGCCGCCCCCTCGCGCAGGCAGAGCAGCAGCGCCTGCGCGCCGCCCTCGCGGAGTACCGCTTGGGAGAGGAGGGCCGCCGTCGCCCTGCGCAGCTCGGCCGCCGCCCCTTGCCCCGCCCGGCCCGCCGCCGCATGCCCCGCCGCCGCATGCCCCGCCTGGCCCGCCGCCGCATGCCCCGCCGCCTGGCCCGCCGCCTGCCCCACCGCCTTGCCTTGCCCCGCCGCCACATCCCCCGCCGCGCCGTCCCTCGCGCGCAGCACCGCCAGCAGCGCCTCGAGCAGCGGCAGCGGCGCCTCGCGCTCGAGCAGCTCCGCGAGCCGCTCGCGCGCCCAGTCGGAGGCGGCGCGCGGCTCGCTGCCGAGGCGGCCCGCCGCGCCGGACGCTGCCGCCCCCGCCGCCTCCTGTGCGGAGGCGACGGCCTCAGGGCCACCCGTGCGGCTCCTGGCGTGGAAGCTGCCGCTAGAGCCGGCAATCGTGATGAGTGCGCCGAGCTCCTCTGCCAGGTGGCGGTGGTGGAGCATGGTCCGAAAGGGCGGCTTCGACCAGACGAGCGCGAGTAGCCGCAGACAGCGGGAGGTCACCTCGTTCTCGCTGGCCGGCGCCGCGACGAAGAGCAGCCGCCCGTCCGCGGCACGGGCGAGCGGCCGGAGGTTGCTCCGCACGAGCTCGCCCAGCGCGCGCGTGGCGGCCTGGAGGTCGGCCACGCCGACCGGCGCCGACGCGTCGCCGCTCACAAGCGAACGGACCTGCGCCTCGGCAGCTGTGGCGGTGGGAAATGTCGGCGCCTCGGCAGCATTGGCGGTGGGAAATGGCATGCGAGGCGTGCCCGTGACCGAGTTCAGGGGCGCGGGCCTGCCGTCCCTCCCATGTTGCGTCGGATTTTTCTTTCTTTTTTTAGAGGGGCGTGAAGTTAAGGTTGCTCCCGGCCCAGTGGGGATTTTGGCCTACTCAGTGACCGTCTAAGGGGCGCTAACTGGCTGCAATTCCATATCTTTTGTGCATAGCTTGTAGAGCACCTTAAAAAACTAGTAGTCTTGGAGTGTCGAGTGAAAAGTTTTTCGATGAGGTGGGGGTCCGTGGTGAGCAGATTCCCAGATTCTCCAGATTCCCCCTCGAGAACCTCCAATTTTAATTCATTGCGGCCGCGGGTTTGCTCGGATTACTTTTCACTCCAAGACATACTAGTTTTTTGGCGTTCCGGTGCCTACAAAAAATATCCGAGATCATATGGAGCTTACCACAGGGTTTGCGGCGGTCACTGTCCTACCAGCGGACACAGTGGGCCGCGGACACCCGTGAATGACCTTAAGGGGAAACCCGGTACACGGTCACGGAGCCAACCCTTGACGTCGTCGATGTTGTGCGGAGTGAAGACGGTCGCCACGTCGTCAACCGTCAGCGGCGGGAGGCACATGGACTGCGACGTGCCATGCTCTCCCTCGTAGATGAAGCAGGTGACAAATAGGCCCCGCATGCCCCACTCTGTGCGGTTTGCCATGAAGTAGCCGACGTCCTTGTCGCACGCGCCCTCGGGCAGCGCGAAGCCCGTGTCGGTGCACTTGAGCCGGAGCAGCCCGTCCTTGTTTTGCGGGTCGTCCCCCTGCTTCTTGCACTCCGCGAGGTCCTTGCACGTGCCCCACGAGCGCGGGCTGTGCGGGTTCGGGCACGACAGCGGCTCGTCGTTCGCGCCGTCGAGATCCTTGTTATAGTACCTGGGTCACGGGCGGGGCCGCGATCGGGCGACCCCGTTTCCTCTCCCTGTCTGCGGGGCAGGCGCGGGCGGTGCTCGGGCTAGATCCGGCGACGGCACCTTGCGGTGTGGGAGCCGCGGGTGCCCTGCCCGTGAGCGATGCCGAGGCCGTCCTTCCAGGTGTTGCGGAGAATGAAGCCGCCCGTATTGCCAAACTCGTCGCGATAGTAGTCGTTGTAGCCGACGATGTTCACGGCATGGCCGCCGACGTCGAAGAGCGGCTCGCCGGGAACGGTGTACCACTCGCCGTTCATCGTCACCATGGCCTTCTTGGCGAGCACGCAGCACTCGACGCCCTTGTAGACGCGCTCAAGCGGGCAGCCCACGCACGACGTCGGCACCGCCAGCGTCTTCTTCGCCTTCTCGACAAACTCGAGCACGGTCGGCGCCTTGGGGTCGCAGCCGTACCGCTCGTCGCACGGCTGGTAAAAGGGCGCGTCGATCTCCTGCATGCCGAGGCTGAGTGGGTTGCCCCCACGCACGAGCGCCGCCTTCATGCTCATGCGATCGTAAAAGTGCTTCATCCCGTTCACCTTGAAGCGCAGCGGGTTGACCTCCTGATACCGCGAGAGGCCGTCGCACTCGCGCTCCTTCTCCGCCCCCTCCGTGTACGAGTAGGGACACATCGAGTCCGGAACCGCACCTACGAGGTCGTTTTGGAGGCTACCGTCGAGAGTCGAGGCTGAGGCTCCGGTGTGGGCCTTGCGCTGATGCCTGTACGGCCGAGGCCCGGCAGATAGCGGAAGACGTGCTCGTCCCCGCCGTCGTCACCCTCGACCGTCTCAGCCATGACGAGGCCGACGCCCTCAATCTTGTTGGTCGGGCATCCCTCTGTCGGGTGCTTCTTGCACTCGTCCATCAGCGCGATACCAAGAGCCTGCCTCGACAGGCGAAGGAACGTGGACCCGTTGAGCCAGCCCTTGGCGACGCCGTACTGCACGTAGGACGACTCGAGGATCCCGGCAGTCGCGAAGAGGTAGCAGTCGCCACGGAGACCCTGGTCGGAGGAGGGTGTCACGTAATCGACAAGGTACTTTGAAGGCAGATCCGACGGCAGCGCGTTGAGCGAGATAGTGGCAACAGGTGGCGGCTGCTCAGCGCGGAGAGCGAGGTCGCCGCTCGCGACAAGCACCGACGAAATATCGCGCTGAGCGGCGAAGAGCTCCTACGGCCAAACCACGCAGCGTCAAGGCATGTGCAGCGCGCACACACAGGCCCGCGCCGCGCCGTCACGGGCGCCTGCTGTTGCTGCAGCAAACGAGCCTGCATGGAGACCAGCCCAACCAGTGAGAATAGCAGGGCGGCGGCGACTGCCCCCTGCGCGAAGCGCGAGCCGCGCGATTGCGGGCCGAACTGCACGTACGGCGCAGGGTCCATTGCGCGCGACCGTCAAACGGTATGTCCCGAGGGGCGAGGCGTGCGGTGCCGGTGCCTCCGAGTTTCGGCTTTGGTTGGGTGGCCCCAGTGATGAACACCACACGCTCAGGACCGCACAAGACCCTCCGGTGATGCGTGGCGCGTGGGGATCGAGGATCGTTGTGTCCCTTTCACGGGTAAAAAATGATGAGAGATCTATGTGCCGCGTGCAATAGACCGCGAGCGACGCGCGACACCCGGAACACATGTGGGAGCGAGCGCCGCCGTTAGCGGTTAGGCGATGGGCATTAGAGGAGATAGAATCAAGATAAGAGGGGAGACAGAGCGAGGCAGCGCAGACGGGCCGAGAACCGTAGGGCCAGCGAGGCGACCCCGCGCATGGCGGAGAGACCCCGCCCGCCGCCCAGCCGAGTATGCTGTGTATGGCAGCACGAGGAAGCGGGGGGTCTCACTTTGGCGGGGATCGGAAGTCGGCGCCCGTGTAGATGGCGCAATCCCCGAGCTCCTCCTCGATGCGCAGCAGCTGGTTGTACCTTTGTCGGCGCGAGGCGAGCCCCGATGGGCGGCGGGCGGCGGCCTAGGCGGCCCGCTAAGGCGTCTCCCCCGCGGCCAGAGACGGCAAGAGGGGAGAGGGGGTAGGGGGGAGGGCGGGCGCACTTTGCGAGCCGCTCGGACCGGCAAGGCGCACCCGTCTTGATCTGTCCCGTCTTGAGGCCGACGGCGAGGTCGGCGATGAAGGAGTCCTCCGTCTCGCCGGAGCGGTGGGACGTCATCACGCCCCAGCCCGCCTTTTGCGCCATGTTGACCGCCTCGATCGCCTACAAAGAGAGGTATGGCTCGCAAAGCGAGGGAGGTTGAGGCGCCTGCGGGCCGGCTCGCCTCGGTGATGGAGCCGATCTGGTTCACCTTGAGCAGCAGCGCGTTGCAAGCCTTGTCGTCGATGGCCTTCTGCACGCGCGTCGGGTTCGTCACCAGCAAGTCGTCGCCGACGACCTGGCACGACTCGCCGAGCTTGGCCGTCATCGCTCCGTACGACGCAAAGTCGTCCTGGTCAAAGGGGTCCTCGATCGAGACCATCGGGTAGTCACTGCAAAACTGCTCGTACATGCTCAGCAGGCTCTCGCCGCTCATCTTCTGCGAGCCTACGTGACGCTTCCGAGAAGGCTCGGGGGGGAATGGTGCACGAGCTGCCGCCGCTCGCCCACTCTGCGCGCCGTCGTTGTTCTCCGTCTTGAAGTCGAGGTCGTACACCTTCTCCTCCTCCTTCCAAAACTCGGACGCCGCCACGTCCATCCCAATCTTGACCTTGCCCGTGTAGCCCGCCTTCTCAATCGCCTCCACCACCAGGTCGAGCCCCTCCTTATTGTCGAGGATGTTTGGCGCGAAGCCGCCCTCGTCGCCCACGTTGCACGCGTCCTGCCCGTACTTCTTCTTGATCACCGACTTGAGGTTGTGGTACACCTCGGACCCCATCTTCATCGCCTGCGCGGGCGGGCGGCGCGGCGTCACGGGCTCGACGCGCTCGCGCTCTCGCGGCGAGCGCTCGCCTCGACAAAAAGAGCCTTCCCTCGGGCGAGCTCGGGTGATCTCGGGTGATCTCGGGCGATCGCGGGTGGTCGCGGGCGATCGCGGGTGATCTCGAGTGATCTTGGGATCTCTCTCGCCTCGCTGAAGGAGCTGGCACCGACGGGGAGGATCATGAACTCTTGCATGGCCAGCTTGTTGCCGGCATGGCTGCCGCCGTTGATGATGTTGAACGACGGGACCGGCATGTACATCTTGTCGGTCGGGTTGTCGGCCAGGTTTGCAATGTGCTTGTACAGCGGCACACCCTTGGCCGCCGCGCCCGCCTTGCACACCGCCATCGACACGGCGAGGATGGCGTTGGCGCCGAGCTTGGACTTTGACCAGCCCCACTCGTTCTGCTGCCCGTCTAGCTCCTTGACCATCTTGTCGTCGATCGCCTGCGGGCGGGCACGCGCCGAAATTGGCACATTGCCCACGCGGCGGCGGCGGCGGCGGCGGCGGCGGCGGCGGCGGCGGCGGCGGCGGCGGCGGCAAGCTCCGCGCGGAGTAGTGATCCCGTGCCTCCCCGCGGGCAGCCCTCCCGGCAGTACGACCGTCCACTCTTCGCCGACACGCCCGCCCGTGGGCCGATGGCCATCCTTCCGCAAGCACTCACAACCACCAGGGTGCGGCGGGGACTGCCAGCGCTGCGACCCACGCGGCGGCGGCGGCGAGAGGCAGGGCTGTGGGAGACGATATGCAGGCGAGAGCGGCCGCCGCGCGGCCGCCGACCAGTTCCACCGCCCATCGCCGGCCGCCGTCGCCAGCCGGCCGCCCAGCGGCATTCTCTGTCCCTCCCTTCCCTCCCGCCGGTGGCCCAATGGCGCGAGGCGCGGGCGGAGCTGCGCCTTTTGGTCGATCGGCGACATGTCCTTGAGCGCCTAGTGAGCGCCGTGCGAGGGTGAGTGCCGTGCCGCGCCGGCACACCATGGAGCGCGCGGTGCGCGCGCACCGGCGAGATGATCTCGTTGACGTTCTTGACGGCCTGCGACACGCCCTTGCCCATGTAGTCCTCCTTGATGTTGTCGCGCAGCTCCAGCGCTGCGAGGGCGCGGGTCGGGAGCCGGCGGTCAGAGAGGCGCCCGCGTTCTTCGGGCGGCGGCGGACGAGCGTGGCGCGCCCTCGTAGATGCCAGTCGACGCGCCCGAGGGCACCGCCGCGCGGTACGATCCCTTGGTCGTGTGCACGTCCACCTCGACCGTCGGGTTGCCACGCGAGTCGAAGATCTGGCGCGCCACGCACTTTGTGATCTTCTCGGGCGATGCCTTACTGGCGAGCGTCTCGCTCATGTGCGCGCACGGGTCCTCGGCGTTGGCCTTGACGCAGGCGTTGATCGCGTCCTCCACAATGGTCTGGATCTTGTGCGTATCCAGGTAGGCCTGCACCTCCTGCTCGCTCTGCGTCGCCGCCATCTCTACAAAGGAGCGCGGCCTGCGCGTGGCGTAGGCGCGCGCGCGTCGCCTCGCAGAGCGAGAGAGAGAGAGGAGGCGGGAGAGTGGCGGCCGAGGCGGTGGAGCGGAGGCCGAGAAGGGGTGTGGCTGGCTGAGTTGTGTGTTGGCCGACGCGGCGCCTGTGATGCTGTGATGCCGGTTGCCACGCGGAAAAGAATTATCGCCGGTGAAACCGGCCAGCGCTCTGGGGGGAGCGCGGCAGCGCGAGGGCCCTAGAGGGCACCCATGCGGGGGGGGATGGGGTCCCATGGCCCGCCGCAGGCGCCGGGTGCACTTGGAGCACTTGGAGTGCAGTCGGCAACCTCACATCCAGGGCCGGGGAGCTAAGACGGGTTCATTTCTTTCTCTTTCGCAGCGATTTTTACTTGTTTTAATAATGGGAATTCGGCGTATTGCGCGTGGATTGCGGCCATACTATCACGCCTTGCGACAGCCTGTCGGCGCTGCTGATCCACAATTGATCACCTGCATAGCTCGCGGCCTTAGAGCTTAGTATCCAGCATTCAGTGACGACCTGATCGTACGGCCACACACTGGGCAAATCGGCCGATTTCCAACCCGCTAAATCATCACGGCCCCGTAACACCCTCCGCGCGCGGTCAAAGGCTTCCCAGGGCCGGTCCATGACATGAACCGATAGACACAAGCAAAAAAACTCGCACATCTAAGCTTCTCGGGCACCCCGAGGCCCATACGGCGCCCCGGCGGGCCCCGGCGGAGGTCCGGCGCGGCGCTCCAAATCCGCACTTCGCGAGCTTCTACGGGCGTTCACGCGGCCTCTCCGCCTCGTGAGGCACACCCCACACCCACCACGAGTCCTGGGGCCGTGGGCGGACCTTTGGCCACGGCGTCCGGAGCTTTGGTCGTCGAACATCGGCCGCCAACTAGGCCGTCGAGCGAACGTGTCCGGAGAGGCTCTCGGATGGGTCCGGCAGCGGTCCCATGGACCCAGAAGCTCGCCCCGGCGGAGCACTCACGGCTCGGCCCCCGCCCCTGGTCACCCAGACGTGCCCTTGGACAGGCGTAGGGGCTCGGATGACGACGTTGGCGCCCGCGACGACGCCCTCCCCGACGACGTCGCATCTGGCACGAGACTACTCGCGTACTCGGGCGCGGCGGCGCGGATGATCACATGGTTTGGGACTCTGAGCGATGGCAGAGGCCTTTTACTGCAAACGAGGACGCCCCGCGAGGCCCCGTCGGCCGGGAGTGGTGAGTGGGACCAAGCGGCACGCGGTCCCGTTGCACGTGAACCAGTGGCAGGTGTCGCACGGCATCACCGCAGAGCAAGGGCGGTACGCCTACATTGCCGATCTGATGGAGATCGCGAGGGGGCTCGACATTGGCTGGACGTGGTGGACGTTTCTCGGTGGCGGGTACGCCGGCGAGCCCTGGAAGTACGGCGCCTCCAACATCATATTCAAGTGCGAGGCGGGGGCAGCCTGCCCGGACGGGACGGCGGGACGCGAGTATAGCCTGCCCGGCGAGGCATCCGTGGCGGTGCACGTAGTCGCCGACGAGCCAGTGCTGGAGGCGTTCGAATCGGTCGACGCCTTTGGCGTGTCCGGTGCTGGGGAAGCGCCGCTGCCCCCGGCCGTCGCTCCGCCGCTGGCGCGTCAGCCGACGCCGCCGCCGAGGACACCGCTACCCTCCACGAGGCTGTAAGCACTCTTCCGCCTCGACCGGTGGGTGTGTGGTGCAGTATCTCGAGCGCAGTATGGAGAGTTGAAAGGAAAGGAGTAACGTTCTCCGGCGCGTCATGTACAGGGGCGAGGGTTGCCTAACGTTAGGAGCTGAACAGTGTTGCTAGTGTTAACAGTAACAACAGAACAACAGTGGGGCTCCCCAACAACAGTAGCTAACGTTAGACCGACTGAACAACAGTAAGGAAGGCCTGGCAGTGACCCACGACGATCTCTAGTGTCCAGTGCGGGTAATACCCGATAATACCCCCGGAAACCCCCAAGTATTTTCGGGTACTAGCAGGTTGGCTCGCTAGTCGCTCGCCGGGCCCGCGCGGCACGCGCGGGCCTTTTTTGTGGTTGATAAAGGTGGCACCTTCGACATTGCACTTGGAGCACTTGGAGTGCCGATTGCGTTTCTTTTCTTTATCGGAGAGAGAGTTGTATTGTCTAAAAATTCTTTATGCTGTCCTCCTATTTTTACTATTTAGGATTCCTAAGCTTAAAGGCCCGCTAAACGCGCGAGGCGGTGGCGGCGGTGGTGCGGGGGATTGGCAGGGGAGGCGGCGGGATTGACAGGGGATGGGGCGGCCACGAGCGGAGCGGCGGCGAGAGGGGGGGCGGCGGCGAGGGCGCGAGGCGCCAACGAGCGAGGAGCCCGCGCCATCAGAGGGACGCGCCGCTGCGAGATGGAGGGCGGCGGTGACGGAGGCAAGGCGCGAGGCGGCGGCGGCGGCGGCGGCGGCGGCGGAGGCGGCGGCGGCGGCGGCGGCGGCGAGAACGGCGGCACCGAGTTGTCTCGGTGAGCGGAGCGGCGGCAGGAGGAGGAGCAGCTCGCTGTTGAGCGCTTTTGAGCCTGGGATCCCATGTCACTGCGACCGGCGTGCCCGGGAACAGAGATCGCGCGCGCGCCGCCACTCACGACGCGCGCGCGATCTTCGCGGAGTCGGGTCCCCAGAGGGAAGCGGTCTTCTCGGCCGACGTCCAGCGGCGCGCAAGGAAGCAGGCGCAGCGGTGCACCGCGGCGCGTTGATTCGCGACCACCGTCGGCCGCGGACGGCGGCGGCGTGGCGGCCGCGGGCGCTCGCGAGACGCGCCGCTCTGCTCTGGTACGGTTCGTTCGACTCGTTGTGCCGCCACACGCCCGGCGGCCGCGGGTCCCAGAAGTGGTTGCGCGGGCCTCTTCCTTGCGGCCGCGGGACGGCGTCGGGCACGAAATGGGAAATATATCTCTTTGATTACCCGGATTTTTTGCCATTTTCTGCTTGCTGGCCGCTGAACAGCCGGCATCGTCGCTCCTGACGGCGCCATCCGTGTCTCCTGGCGGAGGCATCGCGTTTCGGGCCACAACGGACTGCGCGCTCTGCATTTCGGAGGACCACCAAAACTCGCTGTGCACCCAGGTGCAGGTGCAGGTGCAACAAGTTTGCGCCCGGCCCTCTAGCGCCGCGCGCTGGCCCCGGCTGCGTCCCCGCGCGGCCTGCCCGATGGCGTGGTGCCCGCCCTCCACCCAAGCTCGCGGCACCGCATAGCGGACGCGCGAGGTACCGTCATCACAACAGCGGCGCGGCGAGACAACTCGGCGCGTCTCTCAAGGGTGAGAACCTCTTATCACCATCGGCATCTGTCCGTCGTCATCTGCGTTTGCATCATGGCTGATTGGCGAGCGTCACGACATAATCGCCATCATCCTCATGCCCAACTTGCGCGTAGGGAGGAGGAGGCTGCGCTGCGCAAGCACGGGCGGGAGGGGTTTCTCCTGCGGAGTCGTGCGTGCGCGGGGCTCCTCTTTGCGAATACTCCCTACATACATCTCGTACCGGTTCTACCAGAGAAGGTTGCTTCCCCCAGGATTAGTCTTCTCTACTGAGGGGACGAACTAAGGGCGGCCTGGGCGGGGCTGCGGCCGGAGCTAGCATGGCTCGTCAGGTGGTGGCTGACATAGATGGTGCAAGGCTTGTCCATGGTGGAGGTGCCATGGTGGTCGACGCTGTCATGTCGCTGGTGGTGTCGGCCTCGGCGATGCAGTAGTCGAGGCCGTGCTTCCCGGAGGGGAAGCCATACGCGATAGCGGTCACGCCATAGCTCGCGCATAGGAGCAGGAAGCTAGGCAGGGGCCGCATCGCGATCGCTGAGCTGTAACAAGTTTGACCCAAAACAAGAACACAAGTTTGGCTCTACTAATATAGCGCGCGGATAAGGCGCGCGCGCCGCCGCCGCCGCCGCGGTGGCGGCGAAATATAATATTATCTCAGAGGAATATAGTGTGAATGCCCGGGAACACCATGATGGGGGGCGGGGCCCGCGCAGGGGACCTCTAGTCACACAAATAAAGCTGCTCCCGCGCCGTTTCTGTCCGCCGCGGAAGTTTTGCAGGCACTTGCTCGGGCGATTGCATGGCGTCCCGTGCACGCCCATCGACGATCAACGTCCCACCCTTGCCGGAGAAGCTGCGGCACGCTCCTCAATCACGGGAGGTTGGGCCAGGCAAGCGCTACGCGAACAACACTGCGTTTGAAGCCGACCGCGCTGCGTGGGAGGAAGGAGGAGCGCAGGCAGGAGGCGCAGGCTGCTGATGGCAGAGCGCGAGCGCGCGCAGAAGCAGGTCCGCGAGACGAGGCGAGAGCGGCAGCGGCCGGTCGATGACAGTGAGCGGCGGGTGCGACAGAGGCAGCAGCAGAGAGGCAAGTCGAGGGTGGAGTCTGTCGGGACTCCGACAATCCCAATGTTCTTCCGGCTTGCCAACCTCACCTGGCTGGTCCAGCGGCATGCCGTACCCAAGAAGGAGGACGAGGAGCGCCTCTGGAGCGCGTGGGAGGAGCTCTCGGGAGACAGCCGCCCCCCTCACCCTGCGTTCACTACACTCGGCGGCGAGTCGCGCTCACGAAGCTCGGCGGCAAAATTCCGATCGATATGCAACAGGTTCGGTCGGAGAAAGAGCATTACAGAGCTGAAGCAGGCCGGTGTCAAGGACGAAGACCTTGAGCTGCATTGGGTCGATTCCGTCTACATAGGCGCGCCTTCCCGCGAAAGACATAGGGGAGTGTGCCTCTACCTCGATGACGACGAGAACGGCATGCCGGCGTCCGTCTCCTGCTATGATGGAGGATGGAACTGGGATGGAACGACGCACTGGTTCGAGGGAGAGGGATTTGTCAAGTTCAGCAACGGGGACCACAGCGTTGGAATTTGGCACAAGTTCCAGCTGATGGAGGGATTTCATGTCGAAGGTCCGCGCAAGTTGGAAGTGGTGAGGAGCAGGACGGCGATGGGCTACATTCAGAAGGGCCAGCCAGGTATGGCAAACCTGGTGGATCGTGAGTGGGGCTGTGCCAACGAGCATGAAAGCATGGAACTTTGGGCAGAAGCAGTTGGGCGAATGCCGGACAGCGGCGACAGCGACTTCACTGACGATCTACTGCTTGACTGGCGCGCAAGCAAACACGGACTATCAAGCATACTGCCACCAACAACGGAAGTTCACCATGTCACTGTGGTGCGTGTCACAAGACATATACACGAGGTTGACTGAGGACGAGATTCGAACAAACAACATCACTTGCGAGGGGTTCCAACAAATACCATATGATTATCACTACGACGCACACTATTTCAACCTTTGCCGCACTCACAAGCGAGCATCAGAGCTGAGAGCAATGGAAGCCAAGGTTGAGCGTGTGCAGCAGGAGCTTCTCGATATGGCCCGGGCCCGATATCGACCAGACGCCGTCGCAGCAGGAGCTCGAGAGGAGGCAGGCGTCGATACAGCGAGCGCTCGATCGGTGCAGCTCTCCTACCTCGCGTGCGTTGATGGCTGAGAAAGCCGCGTTTGCTAATCAGTGTCGTGTTCGTTCGTGACAGACCATACTGTCGGAGGTAGAATATGGTACTGTTTGATCTTGCAACACTAACTACACTGACTCTTCCTTCGCAAGGGCCCCGCCCCCATGATGTCGGCCAACACACAACTCAGCCAGAGCCACACCCCTTCTCGGCCTCCGCTCCACCGCCTCGGCCGCCACTCTCCCGCCTCCTCTCTCTCTCTCGCTCTGCGAGGCGACGCGCGCGCGCCTACGCCACGCGCAGGCCGCGCTCCTTTGTAGAGATGGCGGCGACGCAGAGCGAGCAGGAGGCCACGGGGCGTTTCCCTGCCGATATGCGACGAGCACCTAGCGTCCTAGCCGCAGCGCATTACTCTCCTGTGAATATAGTCCTTCTTTTGTCAGTCACCTCTCAAGGCTATCGGGAAAAGAAAACACGCGCGCAGATCTTGGGGGGATACACCACATCTTGGGATCTGTTGCAGGGGGTTGTGCGCGCCGCTGCGCCTCCCTGCTCTGGTCGCCCCACCGCGGGGGACGCCACGCAGCGCGAGTCATGCTGTCCGAGCCACAGCCCGGGATGCCCGTTCTCGAGAAGCACGCGATGCCGATCGAGCCTCAGCGGCAGCGCCGGTCGCGGACGATGTACTCTGCAGAGTACAAGCTGCGGGTCGTGCGTGAGGCGTTGGCCCGCCCACAAGCCTGCCGGATCAAGCCCACGTGCCGCGAGCACCCGGGCATCGAGCCGGTGCACGCCTCGCCCCACGCCCCACCCCGCTCACGCACTCGCCCGCTCTCGCGCCCGTGTCCAAAGTGTCCCCAGCATCTCTGCGGCTGTTCTGCTCGTGGCCCCGCTCGCGCGATCCATCGCCGCCCCCACTTGGCCCCGCAGACGCAGCTGCGCAAGTGGATCAAGAACATCGACACGCTTGAGTCGCTCGCCGAACTCGAGGCTCGCCAGTTTGAGATCCGGCGAGACTTTCACGTGAAGAACGGGCAAAAGGCTCTGCTCGGGCCGAGCGCGCAGAGCGGGGAGAGGGAGATTGTGCAGCGCGAGCAGAATGCGCAGAACCCGTTCGGACTCGCCTCGGGCATGCTCGGCACCGTGCAGCCCTTAGCGGGCTCGCAACAACTCAGCGCGTCCCAGGCGCACGGCGCGAGAGGCGCGGGGGAGCAGGAGCGACCCGGCCCTAACCCTCGGCCGTGCTTGCGTGCAAGGTGCAGCAGCTGCAGAGCTTCACGCACTACATGCAGTCGCTGCCGCAACAGTCGCTGCTGCAGGCGCAGCTCCAGGCCTCCAAACTGTACCACTCGGCGCCCGCGGCGTCGCAGGGGGCAAACGAGGCGCCACACCCGGATCGCCTCCCCCCCCCCGCGAACGCTGCCAGCGTGCGCGTATCCCCCCCCCCCCCCCCCCCCTCCCTCCCTCCCTCCCGCTTGCTGCGTGTAGGCACGATGGAGGCGTGGATGGCCGCCGTGGATTCCCCCCACGTGCGCCGTCTGTCGGCCGAGGAGACCATTGCGGCGGTGCGGGGGAGAGGGAGAGAACTTGGGGCAGCGCTGACAGCGTGGCCGGCTCAACCCACCGCGCTATGGATTAGGCGCCGGATGCGTGCGAGTTCGTACCCGGGGCCGCCCCTCAAGTCGGAGAGAAGCGGCCTCGCGCGCTTCCCGCCTCCTCTCCCCCTCTGGCGCCCAAGGAGCTGGCGCTGCAGGACTGGCGCCTAGATGCCGAAACACGGGTGTGTTCCGACTGGCAGTAGAGTCTTGCAGCTGTCTCCGCCGCGTTCGCAGTGTACCCACGCGGTGCTCGGCTTCACGAGACCGCAGCCCCACCCTCACTTCGCGCTGCTCGTGCCGCAGGATCTGGTGCAGCTTCCTCCGCACTCTCTCGCTCCGATGGGATCTTTCGGCGGGTTCGCGCCGAGCGGCCCGCCGACCGCACCCGTGCCTCCGGCCGCGTCGGGGCCGCTCTGCGGCGCCGACGCCGTCGAGGTGATTGCGCACAATGCGATGCGCGCCGCCGCAGCCGGAGGGAGCAGTGGAGCAAGCAGTGGAGAGGCAGGCGGCGCGGCGCCGCAGGAATGGTCGCCGCCGCTCGACTGTGCCGTGCCGGCGGCCGAGCCGCTGGGCCCGTTTGAGGCATTCTGCCCCGCCGCCGTGCGCTCGCACGACGGTCGCTCGCCCGGCCTCCCGAACGGCGCGGGGTTGGTGATGTGGTGATTCTGAAGGCGCCGGGCCGTGTCGCTTTGCCCGCCGTTTGGCGTGTGAGGGGACGCCGCTAGGGGAGGCGGGCGGGGGGGGGGGGGTGCCGCCCCCCTGCCACACTTACGGTCGCATGATCTTGCTCGTCGCGGCAGAGCAGGCAACGAGCAGGCACTCTACGTACGCTACGGTCTGGTCTGTCTGGGAGGATCGAGCAGGGCGTCGGGCCACCGTCTCCGAATGACAGCACTCGTGTCGGCCACGTCGCCTCCACGCCGCACCCGCGACGGGACGCGCCACGACCTGCGAGGCTGCTAGTACTCTCGAACTCTTACGAGGAAGTCGCGATGCATATTCGGTCCGGGCGTCTCGCCTGGTGTACACTTGCTATATATTTCTCGGGTCCGTTGGCCTCTTTTGTAGGGAAGAATTTTGATACCCGTCAAGACGCCTGCTGCAGCTTCGCGATGAAGCCGTCTGCTCCCCACTTGTCAACAGCAGGCGCTGGCGCCATCAACGTATATATATTTCTCGTTGTGTGGAGCACTCCCCTATGTATGCGGTAAGCGGTATATCTGCTCGATCTCTCTCGTTCGTCCATCGTCGCGGTGACCGTTGTCTCGTCGAGCGGGGAGTCGATCATCTCAACACTCAAACGTCAAAGGCGCGAGCCACCGCGGAATGGCGCGGTGTGAGCGCGGCGCTGCGCTGACTCGAGGCACTGACGGGCTCTGACCGGGCTCCGGGCACCCGTTTTTTTCTGAAAACGAAAGAGGGAGGGGGAGGGCGCGGAGGGCGTCTGAACACACGTGTCCCTCCATTCACACTCTCCCAGTCTTCCTGGTCCAGTGCCCGTCTTCTCCGCCCGCCGTCGGGCCGACCGATCTGTTTCGTCCCTTAAGACTTGAGCACTTTTGAGCACTGGATAGGGTCGATTCCGCATGGTACGGGACCCCATGACCACCCCTGTGCATGCCGTCCGCAAGAACCACACTCCCCCCCCCCCCCGCTCGATCCTCGTCGCTCGCTCGTCGAAATCGATCGACTGATAAATAAATAAATAAAAACGGACACCTCTCTACTGTGAGATGGGTAAAAAGGAACAGGCCCCCGCCCTTGCGGTCTTTGTGCAGGGTTCTTTGTGGGTGTGGTCGGCGACTAGCCGGGGTCGTCCTCCCGATGGGGGACTAGCACTAGCCGTCTTCCACATGGTCCCTCGGGTCCCTGCTGCTCCTAATCTCTTCGTACATCCTCCTGCTGATCTCCGCAAAGTCCTGCTCCCTCCCTCGTCTCGCCCTGCGCGTCTGCTCCGCCTCACCGTCTTCTGCCCTGCGTCGTCTGGCGACGGGTCCTCCATAGTCGGTCGAGGTCGCCGCCCTCCTCGTGCCTCTTCCCAACGTTCCCTCGGCGGCCGATGCCGTCTGCTCCGGCTCCCCAGTCCCCGGCTCTGCCCTGCTCTCGTCTGCGCTAGTTTCTGCTTCGTCATCACTGGCGTCTCTCCTCTTCCTTCTCCCCTTCTTGTATGCTTTGCACATCGCGTCGATTCCTTTTCGCGTGAGCACCAGCCTGAAGCCCGCCCAGCAGCTGAACCGCTCCCTAAGTCGAAGGAGCATCATCAGTTCGATCGACTGAGCTGTCGTAGTGGATGCTATTTTTCTTTTTTCGAAAACGCGCGCGGCACGAGAGGCGTAGAAGAGAGACTGGCGTGCCCCGCGCCCAGCTCGCAGCTGGCAGTAGGAGGGTACGCCGGTGAGACCACTGGTTTTGGGATCGACCATAAATTCTCGCCACTGGAACGCTAACCGTACTTACTTACTTACAGCTGCTGTCTGTACAGAGATGCCAGCACCCCCCACAGGCAGAGCGCTCCTGCTGGGGGGGGGGGGGGGGTCCGGACCCCCCAAGCAACAACTGCTGGGGGGGGGGGCCCCACCCCCCCCAACAACAAAACGCTTCTGCTGGGGGGGGGGCGGGGGGGTCCGCCATTCCTTTAAAAGTGCAGGGGGGGTACCCAACAATGTGCGGCCCCTCATGCTTACTCGGAAACGGCCCCCCCCTGCGAATTGCAAGCCCCGAAGAAAACCAACCAACTCATCCCCAAAAAAGCCATCATGCCAAGGGCAACCATTGGGGCTCTTTGGCCAAAAATTTACGGGCCCTTCAAAAGTTCTACCTAAAAAAAAGGGGGGGGGGCGCCCCCACGCCCATCCGCCAACCGGGGGGGGGTTCCCTTGCATCGTCCATCTTGGAGCACTTGGAGTGCAGTTGGCCATCGATCGTGGTTTCGTGGGGTGGGTCCCTTGAGTTTGTAACACCGTCACTGAGTTAGCCTCACCCTTTACGAGATGAGAAGATAGTGCTCAAGTGCTCAAGACTGAACCCTGAAGAAACCAGAGCAGCAAGGGGTCCCGTACCATGCGGAATCGACCCTATCCGCGTGTTGATACGGCGGGCTCTCACTCAGACTCTGACTCAAGTTGGCGAAGCTATGTCGGCGCCGCGGCTGTCAAAGCCCGAGGCTGTGCCTGTGACGCTTCGCATGTGGATGAGAAAGAACAAGTTGGCAACGATGGTGATCATCTCGCTTTCTCTCCTCCTGGCCCTTTCGCAGGCGCAGGTGCAGCACGAGGTGAACCACCACCGCGAGCTGAACAAGCAAGCGGCAGAGGAGCGGCGGAGCCGTGAGTGGCTGGAGCGAAAGTCGAGGCGGCTCTCTGAGCTGCTAAAGCTGCCACAAGCACGGACAGCATCGTACCTGGCGCCGCAAGTGACCAACAGTACCTGCCCGCCGTCGCCGCCGCCGTGCACAAGCTCAACACCAGCCCTCAAAGCATGTCGCGAAAAGCTCGTGCGATTGTCAGCAGCAGCTGAAGCACGTCGAGCGCCTCCACCACCGCGACTGGTGAAGCCCGCAGCAGCCGCGTTGAAAGAGGTCCATCCCACTGCTGCAGCGGCGCCCGTACTCGGCACGGCTGGCGCCCGGAGCGCCACTCCTCCGGCCGCCGTGGCTACGGCCACCAAGGCCGCGCGATTGGTGCAACCCGCAGCAACCATACCAGCGGCCGCGCTGAAAGAGGGCCATCCCACTGCTGCAGCGGCGCCCGTACTTGGCACGGCTGGCGCCCGGAACGCCACGCCACCGGCCGCTAAGGCTCCAGCCACCAAGCCCACCTCTCCCGCATCGAAAGCACGGGGCCGAACGAGCTCCCCTCTCGGTAAAGCCCAAGGGGCAGCGCCAAAGCCGGCCGGCAGTGTCGCCGCCTAGCGGGGATGAGATATCTCAACCTCTCTCTATAGAGCCTCAGTCAGCGGTCTGGTTGCTGTTACCTTCCTCGCCTGCGAGAGGTGCAATGTCGGGCAGAGAGTGCGCGCACAGGCGACAGGGGAGCCGGCAGGCCGTGGCCTCACAGCTGCCAGGCGCGCTGCCCTGCGGGCTGCGGCGCAGGCAGTGCCCGCGCGTGTGTGGAATTGCGGGACAGCACTTGCAACTATCTGAGGTGACACGCTCTAGGACACGCTCTGAAGCGCGCGAAGTGTCTGACTGACTGCTGTGTGAGCTGTGACAACCCCTGTGCGTGGCCTGTGTCCGGTTCTGGGTGTCGTGTGTGTGACTCTCGCTCCACACACCTCACACCCTCACACGCGTGATCTCTCTGACTCTGTCTGCGCGTCTCCGCCGGGTCTCCGTCTGTGCCATGGTCTGTGTGCGTCAGTCTGACGAAGACCGGATCCGGAAGAGTGAAAAGTCTGTGCAGGAACCCAGGTGTGCACACGCTCGCACGGGTCGGAGCAGACGGCTTCGTCACGAAGCTGCCCCCAGCAGACGTCTTGACGGGTTTCAAAATTCTTCCCTACAAAGAGGCCAACGGTGAACGGACCTCAGAACGGACCCGAGAAAAGAACACGGACATCGCCATGGTGACATCGGACTCGGTCTCGGACCGATGTCGGCCGTTCTTCTCGCTTTCGGGTGTGGCTGCCGTGTGCTGCCGAGTCGGCACTGCGATACCCGACTGTGTGATCTCGAACAAATGTTGTTTGGGCGGAAGGCATGTGCGACATGGACATACTGTTTTCTACAGTACCGTACCGGTTGTCTCATGTCTGTTACTTCTCTGACAGACACGCCTCACGCGACAGACCGAGAACCCTATCTCTCTTCTACGTGTAACGAGGAGACAGGCAGCGACGATGCGGTCTTTAAAGCATGGACGCTGACCTCCCCTCTCCTGGTAGCCAGCCTCGCCCCTCCCCCTCCTCAACAACAACAGCGAACGCCAAACCAGCGCGCCACGGCGCCAGGTGGGCTGCACATGCACGAGGCCGCAGGCAGGTCGCTTACTTCTTCTTGGCCGCGGGCTTCTTGGCCGCGGCCTTCTTCGGGGCGGCCTTCTTGGCCGCCGGCTTCTTCGGGGCGGCCTTCTTGGCCGCGGGCTTCTTGGCGATCTGCGAGCGAGACAGCGGCCGCTTGTGAGAAGCGTGAGAAACGTGTGGGCGCGCTTGGAGGAAGAGGGGGCAGGCGCGGAGAGAGGCGCCGTGCCCACCCGGGGCGCTGGCGGCGCCGGCGCGCCACTGTGTGGGTGTGGCTTTGGGCCGCGGGCGTGCGTGAACCTTCTTGACGGCGGCGGGCTTCTTGGCAGCGGGCTTGGCCATGATTGTCTGTGCGGCGGCGGGGCGGCGCGGACGGTGAGGAGGAGCAAAGCGAAAATTTGCGCGGGCATCGGCCGCGACCGGGAGAGGAGCGCATGGCGAAGGGAAAGGGCGCAGCAAGCGCACCGTTAACTGCTGACTTTGAGTCCTCCCGCCCAGAAGTGGCGAAAAGCGAAAAACGGTTTATCTGTCCGCCTCGCCGCCCCCCTCCCCACCACCTCCGCCTCCGCCTCCTCCCTTGCCGCTCCCTACCCCGCCACCTCCTCCCGGACGCGAGACGGCGGCGGGGCAGCGGCCGAAGAAGCGAAGGAGGGGGAGGCGGGGGCCCCACAGCCGTTGCCCAACCAGGTAGGTGGTGAGCGAGCGAACGGGTGGGAGGACCGGGAGGAGATGGGAGCCCCTCCCTCCGGATCGAGGGTGGGTGGGTGGGGAGGCCGGCTTGCAGCGGCCGCCCCCTCCTGCTAGGCAGAGTCAGTCGGGTTCGAACGAATCCACGCGAGCCGAAACAAGGTGAAGGGGTGAGAAGCCCGAGTCTGAAGTTCACCCAGTGAGGAAGTGAGGAACTGCTCGACCCTCCCGGATCGTGCTGAACAAGCTCCTGCTGTAGCTCGATCGGTCACACACCGCCATCTCGATCGACTCCGCCGACCGACGAGCGACCGTCTTGAATGAAAGGGAGATGATGGAGCGGGGACGACACTATGCATCATCAGCGTGCACCTCGATCCCCTTATACATGTATACCTACCTACCTTAAGGTACCGTGTTCGTTTGATGACCTTATGCGGGGC